AGATAGGGTAGTTGAAGTCCTCAAAGGAGACTATATAATTACAATAGAGCTCCTTCTCCTGCTTGAGATATCCACCTACATGGATATAGGTATATTGGGAACGTTGTTGTCAAATCCTGGAAAACCTTGAAGAATACAAATTTAACTTTATCTAATAGGCAAGTATGGATGGGGGCAGTTGCAGTTTTTGAGTGAGTAATGATTACTGAAAAGCCCTTATTTAGAAGTTTTTCTGGAAACAACCTTTAGAAGAAATTTGTGGTGACTGACACTGGAATTATGGATGACATTTAAGAAGTTACTGCAGTAATCTAGAGAGTCAAACATGACAGGGAATTTGACAGTGGCATCAGGAACGAAAATGCAGCAGAGACACCAACAGTTTTTTTGGAGGGAGGATGAACAGAACTTACAGACTGAAAGGGTAAGGAAGGCAAAGGGGAGGAAGGAGCCATTGATGAATGCTGGTAGCATTAGCTTAAATAAAGCAGTTTCAAAAGAGCTACACATTAGTGAGAAAGGTTAGAGAATCAGAGAATGTGAAATCTGAAAGTGATCATTTTTATTCTTCTTATTGTATGCAGGAAAACAAAACTGAGGTTAAGCAACTTATCAAAAGTTACACAGTTAAAGCTTGAGGTGGTTTTAGACACATCAGTTTGAAGTGCCATGGAGTGTCCCAGGATATCTGATAAACCCATTAGAAATATGGATCAAGAGCACTGTCAAGTCCTATCTTTTCCTTTAGTCAAAATTAATGACTCCTCCATAGTCCCATATAATTATACATACTTCTAATATAGAATTTACAAAATTTTATTTGCTTTTATTATTGTTTTCCTCTAAAAGAAAAGGACCAGGTCTCATCATATAGACATACACATAGCCATACGTATATATGGCTATGTATATATAACTGGCACCGACTATAGGCACTCAAAATTGTTTAGATGAATAAATGAAAAAGAAAAGTGACACGTAACATATATTTGAGAGTCTTTCTAGAAGTCGTTATAGAAGATAGGGTAGTTGAAGTCCTCAAAGGAGACTATATAATTACAATAGAGCTCCTTCTCCTGCTTGAGATATCCACCTACATGGATATAGGTATATAGGTTTATAACCTGTTACCAGAGACTTCCAAATGAAAGGCCAGTCTCTTTTCTGCATTACAGATAAGCCAAATGGCATTATGAATAGTTCCCTTAAATCAAAGATTATAACACTGAATGTATTATGCTTCTCCACATGCAGCCTGTTTCTCCTCCCTAAGCCCCTATCTTGGTTAACGGCACCATTATCCAGGCTATCAGAAATCTGGATGTTGAGCTATCCTAGTGCCCTAAATATGATCCTTGTTCTACCAAATTTACTTCCTGAACATTTCACGAGTGGATACCTCATTCTGCCCCCACGATCTCCTACTGCTACTCGTTGATTCCAGTTCTCATAATTGTTCGTGGAACATTGCAATAACCTATCAAGTTGTCTTCTTGGCTCCAGTTTTACCTATACTCCAAAACCAATTAGAAAATAAAATTATCTTTATAAAACCTAAGTATTGTTTTTATTTTTCTCTTTAGCAAATGCTGCAAAGACTCTCTATTACTCAGGTTACAAATCATATTCTTTTCTGTGGTGAGGTGCCGTCTGTGTTTTGGTCTATCTATCTAATTTCAACGCTCTTCTGCTTTCTGCTCCAACTATATTGACCTAATCACAGCTCCTCAAACACTCTATGCTGTTTTGAAGCTGGTTACTTTCTTTCTCTATAATGCTCTTTCTTCTATTCTGAAGAATGCCCATTCATCTTTAAGAACAAGCTCAATTGACACCCTTATCTGAGTAACATTTTCTAACCTCACCTGATAGGTCTGATCACTCCTCTTATGTATCTTTTGCCATGTGTAGTTTCCATTATACATTATTGCATTTACATTCCTGTGGAACATAAATTTGTACTGCAAATTCCAATAGAATAGAGACCTAGTTATTTTAGTCCTGTACCAGGTGCAGATAGCAAACATATAATAAATATTTATCAACTTCTGCATAAAAGAATGCTGATGTCTGAGGAGACCCTTTTTTTAAAAAAAACAAAAAAAGTTTTATTTGTGTCCTTAATATAACACTTTTAGGAAAGAGCTAGTAATAGGGAGAGATTTCAGAAGTTTAATGAATAAGATAGTAAAGAATCAGTTTCAGTAAATGAAATATATATTATGATGAAATACATATACACACACATATATGTGTGTATATATAATGGAATCTTAAAAAGAATCTCAGAGTCCTAAAGAGACCTTAGAAGACCTAAAGAAGTATATGGAAAATTGGAAAGAAACCAGTGCAAAAATGCAGACTTAAGTTTAAAAAAGTGTGAGACAACAAAGAATTAAGATGAAAACAGAATTTTGTGTTACACATTTTTGTATCTTTAGTGCTGTGCACATAGAATCATTCAATATATTTACATAGAGTTAGAGGAAAGGGATATGAGGAAAAGAAGAAAGGATGAAAAAGACACAGAAGGGATGCTAAAAGTAAATAAATTGAGGAAATTTATATTTAAAACAAAATGAACAATTAGGTTCAGCTTATCTCCAACTTTTCCATGATATTATCAACTTAAGTTTCTATTCATCCTTAACTTTTAGCATGCTTACCATCTGTAATCAGATTGTGAGACTACTTTGAGGCCAGTTTATAGAGGTTTTTAAATACCGTGATGAGCACTTTGACTTTTAGATCTCTTATGCAAGGGGATGCTCTTCCTATTTCCTTAAAATAAATGCCCTTTGGGAAGTGATGCTTATTTGGATTAAGTTTACCTGACTACAAGAGGTAAGAAAGTCTCCAAGAAGTGCAATTAAGAAGGGGTAATACAAGCATGCAAGCATAAATAACAGTATAGGGATTAATGTATCAATTAGAACAAAAAAGATCACTGATGTGAAGTATATAAGAGAAAAAAATAGAAATTTAAAATCAGTTAACTTGTGGGCTAGAAAAGAGGCATGAGTCAAGTTTGGGAGAACGACTTTTTTTCATTCTTTGTTGTACCCTCCCTCTGATGCCCTTTATAAGGTATCATAGTGCCTATGAAAGGATTTTTAGTCTACAGAACTATTCAGAGAAGGCAGGCCTGCTTGGAAATTTTAAACCGTCTTTTAACGTAGCTGAAATGTCATGGGAGGCTACCACACCTTCCATGCTGACAATGCCTTAGGCCAGTCATGCTGACAGGGCAGTGCAGAGACAATGTGAATTGCGCTCTGGGTTTGAAAGTAAGTGCCTAGGTACAAGAGTTCAGTGATTTTACTATGTGACAGTCACTGAACCACTTATTTTCATTATGAAGGAAATTAAACATCTACCCTCAGCATAAAACACTGGAATTGAGTGAATATAGCTTTATAACATTTCTGTATTTATTTATTTTTTGCATTTGTCCTTTTCTAGCTATGAATTTCTGATTTTGAGTATCACAGACCCTCTTTCCTTTCATACCTTCATGCCTCATTGACATTAAGGCAAAAAAAAAAAAATACAGATTTGAGAAGCAATCCATACAAAAACATTGCATGCAGGCCAAGATAATACAGATATTTTCCTCAATCACTAAAGTTATGGATTAAGTTAATCAGAAGCAGCAGTTGTGATATACATTGTTTTATTTTTCGAAATATATAATTTAGTGGTATTTCTAGCCTTAGTCTGCTTTCAATAGACAGATCCTCACAACTATGTGTCTCCTATTATGAATGACTGGCATGAGATTTGTTTGACGTTGTTGACTAGACACTGGTATTAAAAAACAGTATTCAATGTTTTCATTTTATTCTTTAATACAGAAAAGCTTCAGCCAATTTGTGATGTTTAGATATTTGAGAAAGGAAATAACTTTTGAAGTTATGCTGTGTCTAAATACACTACTTTTGTTCTCTTACCCACAAAATATTATGTCTACACCTGATTACTGGGATAAATGGTTTCAAAGTCAGTCCAAATGATCTAAAGCATGTGTGAAAGGAACCTGGTCGTTTTGCTAGTCTTACTTTTATGTGAGATGCACTCCTAACGCAATCTGTGGAAACTCTTGTGAACATTGGCACAGATTGATGACTATATGTACAAAATTCCACTTACTGGTTTTAGTTATAAGGGTGATTTTTAACAAAATTTGAGAAAGACAGTCTATGTATAATTTCTTTGAAGCATATTATCCTATAAACCCTGAAAAATGGTATATCTTTGAGCTAATAAAAAAATCATTCTAACTGCACTAAAACAACAAAACTCACCAATTAAAATGCCATCAACAAAATCTTAGTATTTTTCTCTGACAGAGAATACAATTTCACCATCGTAGTGACTTTTTTTCAAAGCTTTTGACTCTTCTTTCCTCTTTTTTTTCTTACTCTAAACCAGTAGGTTTATAAGCCGTGTACTTGAACAGCAAAGCCATTTGCCATTTGGTAGAACTGGCTGACATTTCATTTTTTCTGGGCAGATTGCAGATTAGTTTGACATTATTTTGCTGAGCTGTGTGCTACATCATTAACATATTGCTTATGACTAAAAGTAAAGTAGTTTCATTTTGTGGCATAATACTCCACATTCTCTACAAGTAGCAAAAAGTATGATTTTTCTTTGAAAATGACTAGGTATTGCTTCAGTCTTGTTAAAAAAAAAAAAAAAAACAGAATTCTATTAATGTAACAAAATGTATCACTAAAATGGTGTGTCAGAGGGGAACGAAAACCTCCATAAAGGCATGATGTGTTTACTGTTGATATCTCTAAATCTTGGCTAGAAATGAGAAACATTCATGAAATATTGGACTTAAACTGAGATTACATCAGTATGGTAGCAATATCGTACTTGTCAACTAACAGAATATAACTGCCTGGTTGTACCATATGAAAATGAAAATTCACTTTTTGATCTAAGGCATAATTCTTCCCCTGTCCATGTTAGATAACGTTTTGTTTTCAATGTAAATAAAGTAGAGGCTAGGCAACTGTATCACAAGATGGCTTTGTTTGGGAAATCAGGGGAATAACAAACTGCTGATCATTTTTTAATTAAAGTGGTAAACAATTACCAATGCTCTTATTTCAGTTGTTAATATATTTGCTCACACCCTCTTTCCCCTCACTGAATTAACTCTAGTATGAAAATTTTAAAAAGTCACACTGTACAATTGTTGGTTTCTCTTCTACTTAAGGAACAATTGTCGTACTGTAATTGTATATGATATGGATGAGTTATGTTGAACAATTCACTTGCTGTGATTTTTCCCTTTTTTTCATTATGTTCACATATTTTATAAAGACAGAACATCTCGTTGCTGCAAAATGCTGCTTTTACTGACAGTAAGCACCTAAACGAAGTATTGTGCAAATGTTTTGGTCACACACACCTTAATGTTTAAGCAAAACATCAAACCAATTAACAACCCATGCTTCCGAGATAAAGTATATAGCCTGATAGCAGGTTCTAACATTTTTTAAAATCTCATTAAATTGATGAATTTAATTCTTCCTACTTTTATGGCAGCAGATAGAAAATCTTGAGGGACAAACAATAATTTCACGGTCACCTGAGATTATTATACTAATTACCTTTCATTAATTCAATTTCCCATTTGTTTCTTTGACATTTTGAAAGGATAAAAAGATTTTGTGTGTGTGTGTGTGTGTGTGTGTACTTGCTTTTGAATTCCCACTATTTTTAATAAGTGTTCAGGGATGATGTACATTGCTTCAACATACGCTATTCATGTTGTACGTCAGAGATGACTTGGTTTCTACAGTGTCTTAGATAGAAGGCTATTAATCCGGAAAAAAAAAAAAGTGTATCCAATTTTCAAGAATGATTTTAGGCATATCTCTTTTTCTTTGTTCCAGCACGCTCATCTTCTTCTAATTCACCCTATATGTTAGGTTTTATCTGCAGGAAATCTACACATTCAGTTTTCTCCAGACACAAAATCTAAGAGTTGGGGTATAAGGGGTAGGACCATACAAAACGCAAAAGACTTAGAAAAGACATTAACAATAATTACATTTCTTTGGTTATAATTTTTTATTGCTATTATGTTTGTTCTGCTTTATTTTATGTTTTAAGACTTATAAAAATTATACCCAGGCAAAGCTTTCAAAAACTTAGAGAGATACACAATAAAATATATAAATAGTATTTGAAAAAAAAATGTGATTTTACTTCTGGTTGCAAAATTGCCTTTTATATTTTTAGATAAATATTTACCAACTTATTTTGGATTATAATCAGATTATTGATATAGTTATCAAAATTTTCCTTCAGTGAAGTTGTTCATACACATTCAGCTAGATTCTTCCAATGGATAATTCTTAGTTAAAAGGTCAAATTTATTCTAGTTTTAATTGATGTCCCATTATTGCAATCCAAACGAGCTTAATATTACCCATGAATATTGTGTTTATAATTTTTATCTTAATAAGGAATAAAAGATAAAAATTCTAAATGTATGGCTTTTGCAGCAAATGGTGTGGTGTTGGTTTCTTATAGAAATGGTACAAATACTAGCTGTTTTGGTTTTCTGGAGTAATGTTTAGTATATTATTCTGATAGACCTAGAAGCAATATCCAAATAGGCCAGAGAAGTTAAAGTGCTCCTGAAACTGATCTATTTATTCCCATGGAGGACTCTTGGATCTCCATGTTGGCTCCTTGTTATTTGAAAATCATATCAAATATGAATTCATATTAAATATTATTCTTTCAACAAACACTAAAAAGGAAATTGTATTTTTCCCATATTGTTGACAAATCAACTGAAACAACTTTATTTTGCTTAATGAATATTGGTTCCAGCCAGATGGGTTCATTGTTATTTCCACAAAAGAAAGTAGATGGCAAACTAATCAACATTTTAATAAGTTGTTTTATGTCCCCATAATAAGAGTTGTGTGTGTGTGTGTGTGTGTGTGTGTGTGTGTAAGCAAATCAGGGAGACAATATTTTTGGGGGAGACAAAGGTTAAAGCGATGGCTTTTTAAAGTTATTTATCTACATTCCAGTGTTTGTGGCCAGATAGGCATCTGTGCTGCAAAGAGAAGGTAATATTCTTGGCAAGGTGAAGTGATGTGAGAGGATTTCAAATTGTCCTATGAACTTATGAGAACTATCAATAGTTTCTCTAGTTTTCTATTTAATTGAAGAAATATGACTTGAGTCATTAGATGACCTCTACAAATCATTAATGATGCAGCTGGAGAGGAATTCTAAGACTCCTATTTTCAAGTGGACTGTTTTACATACGCCACTGCCATCAAACAAAGCAATTCAATAATGCTAGAGGTAATACCTTGCTGTGAGCAGATATTTCTTAGCACATGCCTATCATACTAAAATTTTCCTAAAACCATCTGCATAGTGTTGTTTGCAAGAAGTATTCTGAAATGTGATGGAGATGAACTATTCAGGTTTAGAATGACTGCAATAAAAGCTACAATAAAGGGAACTACTTATTGCCATAGAAACAAGAATGTATGTACAACAATAACATTGGAAACCAACAAGACTCTTCATAATAGCATATCATAACCTAGCATCTTTTTCTTCCAGCATGATTTAGGTTTGTGTTATTACTGTAAAGTACACCAGTGGCTCATATTTGTAGGACTAGAACTGTCTCAAGATGCTATGATGCTCAATTGTATCATCCAGAATTTAGAATCAATTAATCTAATCTTAGTGATGGCAACTGAATTTCCAGGCACACATATAAATTTAACAGTAAAGTGTAGTTCCGAAAAACTATCTTGATCTCTGTGTTTGTATGTGGCGTTGTGCATTATTTGATAATACTAGAGAACACGTTATTTTCTCATCCTAATTTTTCTTATAATTAAAATTACCATTTTAAGCATTGGTAATTTCTTTTTTTTACAAATGAGTAAAGTTTTAATTGCTTATTATAAAGTTTTATGATAGACCTTATATTCTTGACTTTCTTATGCATAGTATGTTAAACATATTTAAAATTTATCTTGACAGCCTGAGCTCATAATTAAGACTATCAATGATAATATTTTGTGAGTCAATAATACTTGACTCACAAATGCCCTCAGTAACTTTTTTTTTTTTTTTAATTTAGCCCTGCTTGTATTTGCTCTAAAGGATCCTTGTCTGCTATAGTGTGTCCTTCCTGTCAGCAGTGGCTTCACTAGGGTTAGTGCTGCTGCTTTGTTTTATTCATTTAATTATCATTTGTGAATATGTGACTGTGTTAGAAATGTCTGTAGAACAAGGACAAATGGGTTCTCAATAAATACCTGAGATTTTTCTGATAATTAAAATGTAGTTGCCTTGATGAATGTTTTGTGAAGTTTATCCAGAGACCTCCTTTGTCAGCTTATAATTCCAATCAAATTTTATGTGGTAGTGAATGCTAGATTGCTAACTTGTTGATAAATGTGTTATCATAATTTGAAAGTATCAGATATAGTACCACACAAAGGAAAAATCTGGCATGTTGATAAAAAGGAGAATTTCAGGC